GTATATATCTGCAGCGGTGCGAGTTGCATCGCCACATTTTAAATGTATGCCGCAAAGATTTGACTAGATAATAGACGTTGGGGGGTATTGATAGAATCTCGTGGTTTTGTAAGTATTTAAAAATGTTTGCACTTGTGGTGTAGAGCATTGTATTCCTGGATCCTAATCCTAACTGCTGGTTTGTAAAAAAAAATGAAAATTTTGATTTTTTGAAAAAAATATTTAGAAGAAACATTATATAGTGTTTTTGAAAACTTGTATTTAAGTATTTTGTTCTTATCTAGTTAGTACAGCCGCTACAATAGCCATTAAGAAATAACAAAGAATAGTACTTATGTACATTAAAAATTACCAAAGTAATGACAATACTAGTGGTGCATGGCATCGTGTTTTAAGACAAATTGCTGGAACTTATCGTACCAAAAATTAATTTTTTTAAAAAACTTTTTTAAATCTTTTTAAAATTGACTGAAAAATCTAGCATTTTTACATTGTGAAAATTTTGAACGTTTATTCGCTGCAAAGATGTTTTAGAGACAAAATATCGAAGCGCCGCGTCGCAGTATAACAATAAAAAATGGTATGAACCAGTAGAAATGTAAACAAAACTTATATTATTATTAAAATCTTTAAAAAATGTCTAATTATCATTATGGCCGCCGAATGGCTTTTAACTTCCCGTAGGATAAGTTATAGTAATCGCAAAAAATTGAAAATGAAAAATTTTATATATCTTTACGTTTCAGAGGTTTCGAACATTTTGGCATACCTTAAAAAAATGGATGTATGTGTGTGTGTATGTGTGTGCGGATACAAATTTTGTCGACGATTTCGGGAACACGGATGAAGCGATTTGAATAATTCAAAAAATTCGATTCGTATTGATAAGGAGACGTGCTGATTAGTTTTAGTGAAGGCAGGTCAAGCCGTTCCGAAGATATGGGGCAAAAAGTGCCAAAAACCGGAACTCAGTTTTTAAGAGAACGGAGCGTCCGATTTGAATAATTCAAAAAACATTTTACTTTGTACTTTCAAAAAAAATTTACAAAATGTGTATACATTATTAAAATCTCTATAAATATCTGATAATTTGATGTACATATGTCCAATAAACATTTTTGACCGCCAAATGACATTTTTTAACTTATTTTTATTGAGAGTCCATAACTGCTGGACCTGCCTCCCCAAAAGTTTAATCAGTTCTTCATCATGTCATGTTAAATGTTTTTTTTGAATTATTAAAATCGGACGCTCCGTTCTCTTAAAAACTGAGTTACTATTTTTGGAACTTTTTGTCCCGTATCTTCGGAACGGCTAGACCTGCCTTCGCCAAAAACTAATCAGCACGTCTCCTGATTAATACGAATCGAATGTTTGTTTAATTATTCAAATCAGTTGATCGGCGTTCCCGAAATCGTCGACGAAAATTTGTATCCGCGCACACACACACACACACATACATCCATTTTTTCTAAGGTATGCCAAAATGTTCAGAATCCTTTGAAACGTACGTAAAGATATATAAAAAATTTCATTTTCGATTTTTTTACAATTACTATAACTTGCCCTACGGGAAATTAAAAAAATTAGATGTCTTTGATATTTTTGTCTTATCTAATTAGTATCTCCGCAACAATAGCCCATAACCATTAATTATTATCATTTATAATATAGGTAATATAAAAAAGCAAATGATAGTACCTATATACATTAACAAATTACCGAAGTAATGACAATCTAGTGGTGCATGGTATCGTGCTTTCAAGCAAATTGCTGGAACTTCCCGTATCAAAAATTAAAATTTTTGAAAAAACGTTAAATTTTTTTTTAAACTTCGAAAAAATTAGTTTTTAGAGAATTTTCACAATTTAAAAAAAAAATTACTAAATATTCTCGATTTTTTTACGTTTTAAATTTTTTTGAAAGTTTTGTACTGTTATTTGCTGCGTAGCTATTTTAGAGACAAAAAATCGTAGCGCGTAAGCGCCGCGTTGCAGTCTAAAAGTTAAACATTGGTACGGAACCCATAGAAATATAAACAAAATTTGTACTTCTTATTAAAATCTCTATAAAATATCTGATAACTTGATGCGCATATATATGTCTAATGACCATTTTTGACCGCCAGATGGCTTTTTTTACTTTTTTCATCTCCGAAACCACTAGACCTGCCTTCCCAAAAATTTAACTAGTTGTTCATTTGGTCAATACAAATAAAATGTTTTTTGAATCATTTAAATATCTCAAAAACTGAATTATCATTTTTGGCACTTTTTACCCCGTATCTTGGAAACCGCTGGACCTGCCTTTGCCAAAAACTAATTAGCACGTCTACTTATTAATACGAATCGAATGTTTTTTGAATTATTCAAATCGGTTGATCCGTGTTCCTAAAATCGTCGGCGAAAAATTTGTATCCGCACACACATATATCCAATTTTTCTAAAGTATGTATACCAAAATGTTGGGAATAATTTGAAACGTAAAGATATAATCTGATATCTTTCAAACAGTTTTTGAATGTTCTAAATCGGTTCAGAATTTAAAAACGTGAATCTTTATCGAAATGCACATATGTATTTCCAATTTTGGTGTCAAATTATTCATAATGACTTAGTTTTCTGTATTTCACATGTAAATCGGATCCATTGCCTAAGCAAGTCAAAAATACAATGGCAACTATTTTTCCGTAAATTACAAAGTAGTTTACGATCACAAAACGTCTTAACAGCTTCTATTTCAATAATGAATAAAGACAGAATCAGTCCAACTTAATTGAAAATGATTTCATAAATAAACATATAAATTATAAAAACCCTGTCATTTATTTTATGGTCGTATGATTTTTATTATTTATTATAAATGTATAAAATTATTGAGCTAAATCGTCAGGTGTAATATAAGGCATGGAACAAGGGTTGTGTCGAGATCCAAATGAGAAACTGTAAGGACCCTTAGAACCAGGATGGGTTTTCGCATAATACGCAGCAGGTCCTGGTGACTTGAATGTTGAATATTCTTTCGTACGAGACGTCAAGGAAAATGAACCATTGCGATGCTATCGAAAAAAAATAGAGAAAAAAATAATAATTACATTAAATTGACACATAAATTAGAATTGACATGTAGCTTTTTAGAAGGCAACCAAATGATTGGCCTATATCTATTAAATTTATTTTATTATTAGAATTTATCCGATAGTTATGCCCCAAAGAACTGTTTTGACTTTAAAATACATTACTATATATATATATTTTCAAGTAAAAACCGATATCACTACTGCTTGACATCAGGATGCTCGAAGCAGGTACCGAACCTGCAATCTTGTGCTTGGATATAATATAATTAGAATTGACACGTAGCTTTTTAGAAGGCTACCAAATGGTTGGCCTATATCTATTAAATTTATTTTATTATTAGAATTTATCCAATAGTTATGCCCCAAAGAACTTTTTTGACTTTAAAATATATTGCTATATATATTTTCAAGTAAAAACCGATTTCACTACTGCTTGACATCAGGCTGCTCGAAGCAGGTATCGAATTTGCAATCTTGTGCTCGGATATAATATAATATAAGAATAACCAACCATATATGATTTTTTTTAAAAATATGTTAATTTATAACCATATTAAAGTAAAATATCCCTATAAGTGCAACATCAACACCAATTACAGACACTAACCTTATAAACATCAGGATTTCCCAAATAGTATGTCGCAGGACCAGGTGATTTCCAAACTTCAGTAGAATCTCTACGGGACGTTATACTGAACCTGTTGATTTATTAAAACACGTTTATAAATATTTACATTTAGTTAAAATTAGAGGAGCTCTAGATCATGTGCCCCAAAAATTATACGTACGCCAAATCATTTATTGTCCCAGGCAAGGAATAGGCACATGGTCCTGGTCCCACGCTGACGGTAGGCACATTTATTCGGCCTCTCATAGAAAAGGCTGGTGCATTGTCCTTTAATTTCGGTGAGTAGGCCGCTGGACCAGGTCCTGTAGATTTCTCAGGAAGCGTACTTCGAGACTTCAAGGAAAACATGGGAACGGTGTCTTTTCCATATCGAGATACCTGGTCAAAATAAAATAGATCATAATTAAAACTGCCGAAATGGATTTATAGCAGTTATATTTAGGGTATATTGCTTAAAATTAGATCAACTGCATTTAATGAGATATTATATTAACTAAGTTTATATTATGACCCATATAGTTCCTCCTCACAGATTCCAAAAATTTTATTAATTGTATTACCAAAACCAGAATTTTTTACCAAAATTGAACAATAATAAAATAAGTAATAATGAAATAAAATTAAGAAATACTTAGAATAACTTACCCCTTCAATTTTATAGCATGGACCAGGTCCTTTATTTGCACTGTACAAAGGTGTTCTCTGGCCAAATGAGTACATAGGCAAACGTGGTCTGGAAAAATATGATTTTGTTATTCAAAATTAAATTATATAGCTAACTCTTGTGTAATCACAATACATACTTCCGAACATCATGGCATGGAAACCCAACTTCTGGTGGCAGACCATAGGCTCCTGGCCCTGGACCAACTGGTGGACATGAAGGCATCTCGAAGGCTTTAACGTTTGCACCGAACTAGAAAACCTGTAAGGTTTTACCATAATTAATTAGCATTTGCAATTTTTTTTAACAAAGGTTAAAATGTAATTATCATATTTGAGTTACATATAAACATACCAAAAACAGTAGGTCCTCCTGAAGATTGCGGTATCTTATTTTCTTGGCACTTTTTTATTTTTTTAGAAATTTATTTGCATTTTTAACTTTTTTTTCACTTCACATTTTGTTAAGTAATTTTTTTGTATTTTTTTTAGTTTATCCAAAAAATCACATTATAAAATTAATTTTTAATATTTATTTGGTTATTACATTTTTATATATTTTTTTAAATTTTTATATTTTTTTTACTTTTTTAAATTGACATATTTTTGTTCTAATTTTATTTTAAAAACGGCGCAATCTTGGATTGTGTAGCAAAATATGTATAAATTATATTCGTTTAAACAAATTCATAAAAATGAATTTTATGAAAATGTACAGCAACAATGCCATCCTGTAATAAATAAAAATAAGATAAATTATGTATCCTAAAATAATTAAAAAGTAATTATCAAAAATAAGTAAATCAAACAAATAATCAACAAATCTATTTATATTAGATTAAAAAGTGGAAGTGTAATTAGGAATAAAAATCATTCTTAATTGTGATGAAGAAATAAAATAAAACCAGTAAAACAAAAAGAACTTACATAGGTGACAAACTTGAGAAAAAAAATTGTGGGTTGGCTAATTTTTCGCACGTGGATGAATCAAAAACTTTCACTCACATGGTCTGAAAATTAAAAAAAAATACTTTAATTATAAAATTTTAACATATTTGGTTATATTAAAATATATACTCAATGTTTCAGCCTAGGGGATTTCTTAGTCACAACACAAAAGATAATTGCTATTTTTTTCATGTTCGAGTTAATGTGTTTACATACAATCTGGAGACAAATCTATTCCAAACAGAATCTCCTGGCTGTGCGTTTAATGCAGGTTTGTCTTGAAATCCTATTTTAGATTTGTTTTGAATATATTATCCTTTTTTCCTAGGAATATAATGAAATAATTCAGATTTCACAATGATATACAATACTGTAACAGGTTACAGTTAGAATAAAAATATTTGTTTTTTCAGAAAGATAATTTATTCTATATATAAATTAGTGCACATTGATGAATAAAGAAAGAAAATCCAAAACAATGTATGCATATGTTGCACATGATAACATAAATGAATCGTGTTTGTTTAAATTAGCACTCTTATTCCAGACACATTTTTCAAAAAATGAGATTCGATATCTAAAAACATAATAAAGTTAAATGACAACAGACTGAAATTGATCATTAAATTCAAAAAACGAATCTTAAATTTCAACTTGTATTATAAAACAGATTAAAATAAAATGAATAATGACTTATGTGAATATCAGCGATACAATAAAAATTATTCAAAATACATAAAAACTTACAATTACCTACACTAAAATATTACTTATTTTAGGAGTATAATACAATTACTAGATCAATGTTTTAGTCAGTCTATATGTGTTATATTTGAAATCATTTGAATTTGTTCATGTTAGAAATTACAAGTAATAAATAATAGGATATATTGACTAGTGCTGTACTTGAGTAGTTTTCTACGAAATAAAAATATAATATTTTTATAGAAACTTTGATACAGCAAAAAATCAAAACCAAAACAAAAATAGTTGGGAACAAATTCACATAGCTTCAAAAACTTAAATACAATTTAATTACTATGATTGTTATCATAAATTATTTTGGTTACTTTTTATGCTTTTTCACATTGTTGTTTGAAGATGTTAATATAGAATAAATATAATGAGTAAGCTTCGGTTGTTAAAATATATATACAGAGACTTTCTGATTAATAACTATTTTTACAGGTATTTTCAAGCATTTTCTTAACTAAAGTATAACCCTATCATATGCCAAGGTTTAGTAGTATTTACAAAGCTTCTAATGATACACTGACTTGTAACAGAAATAAAACGATTAAATTAAATTTAGGAAAATTAAACAGTCATGCACAGTCCCAAGTGTATCGTCAGAAGCCACATAAACACACACTCTAAAGAAAAATAGATAAACTTATAAAGTATGTATAACAATTTACAAAACAAAAAAATTTCTTGTAAGAAAACATAACAAATCATCAAAGAGGCATAGAATATTTGAAGTACGTCTGTTGTGGAAGATTTTTGCAACAATAACCTTACAATAAGTACTTGAGAAAATTATTTCTTCTATATATAGGTGACCATTGTCACAAACAACTTTCTGATCAACAACAGTATTATACGATTAAAGCAACAAGACTATGCTGTTTAAAGTTTTTTTTTACATATTTGTTTTCATTTTTATTTATTTTTCACACTCATTTTAAATCGCGCAGCGCATTTAGCAAGCTTAGAGGTATTGCTAAAAACAATTGCTGGTTAAAATACTGAAATCCAGAATTCAATTGAACCAGTAATAAGTAAGTAAAAAATTAACTTTTTCCTACAATATATATTTTGTTCATGGTTAAAATCCAATCTTTGATCATTAGGTGCTGAATATTTTGCAGCAATAAGTAAAAATTAATTGCATTAATGCAGAATAAGATTAGAATATTATAAAACGTCAAGTAAAACAACAAAATTAAAGAAAATATTTAAAACTCTCTAATCCGATAAACCTCGGGCAAAAATTTATACAAAAATAATTATTAAAATCCAATAAATAAATTTGAGTAAAACCACTAATCAGCATATTTATTTCTAGCCCAAACCTCAGAACTTTCTAAAGAAGCTCGCGATGTAGTTTACCGCTAAGAGCACTTCAAACAGGCGCCTTTAACATCAAAGTCTAATACCATTAATTTTGTCTCTTCGGTTCCATTCCTACTACCCACGGCACAAATTAATTTAGTCTCATTGGCACGAATTCTCCAAACTACACCACCAGAACCACCACTAGACAAAGCTACCAAATTTCTAATAAACTCTCCTGTTTTGACGTCCCACAATTTGACTGTACCATCATCGCTAGATGTGATCACAAATCGCGAATTGAATTGAAGGCAAGTGACGGCTGACTGGTGCTTATTGGGACCTGAAATTGAAATATGACTATATTATTTAGAGCAGAAACACTTGCAATGTAAAATTGATATTCATCAATATTGTTCAAATAAACATATGTAAGATTTCTAGGATTTTATTATAAATACCTGACAGTGTCTGCAGGCATTGCCCACTAATGATATCCCAAACTTTAACTGTTGAATCTGCATTTCCAGAAACTAATATATTATTCCTCAGTTCCATTCCTGATGTCAAACTCTGATGTCCCATCAGTGTATGTTTGCAAGAACCGGATTCCACTTCCCAAACGCGAATAGATGTGTCCAGTGAACCAGAAACCACATGAATTCCATCAAACTGCAACAAAATTAGTTAATGGAATTTGTGCATAGAGAAAAATAAGTGGCACATATAATAAATATAATGTTAGAAGCTTCATTGACAATTTGTTATCATTAAATTTCGGAACTCTTATTCAACTTTAATTGAATAGGCTCAACAAAACGTTCAAACCTTTTACTAAGTAATCATTAGCTACTATATAAACTTTAATAATAATTAGGAAGAGTTTCTACAAATATAAAAAATAGTTTAGTTTTTATTTGTAAAGCAAATAAAATTTCAATTTTATATATATATATATATATATTATATATATATATATATTATATTATATTATATATTATATTATATTATATATTATATTATATATCATATATTATATTATATTATATCATATATTATATTATATTATATATTATATCATATATTATATTATATTATATATATATATATATATATATATATATATATATATACTTGCCACAATATTACATATAACAAAATATTAAATTATCAATTTACCTGAAGTGAATACACTCGATTTGTATGACCCTGTAATGTGTGCAGACATTCTTCACGTTCAGGATTCCAAACCTTGACCATGTAATCATAGGCTCCGCTAACAACTAATCTACCATCATACTGAACACAACGGACTGCAGCCAAATGACCAACCAGGACATGTAAACAGGTCCCATGCGTAATGTCCCAAACTCGCAATGTTGCATCTCTAGAACCACTTACAACCCTGCAAGAAAGATGTATTAATATTTTAACCATATTTTATAGAAAAGCTAACAAAACATTCATGGTCAACATGGATAATGTAATAATACATCAATACATCATGGGCTAAATAAATAAATAAAAATATTGTACGATTTTACCTAAGAGATTATATTTATTTATTTTTTTTAAATCATTATATCCATATTTTTTTAAAATGTTTTTGTAAATGAGTAGATATATAATTTGCTTCGGAATTTGGCACCAAAAACATATATTTTTTCAAATATTGTTTTCAATTTTTTAGAACTCACTTATGATCATGTAGATGCATACACCTAACCGTACTCGTGTGGCCATATAGTGTATGTGTGCATTCACCAGTATCAGCATCCCAAACTTTAAGTGTCCTATCAGTGCTACCGCTTATAATTACACTACCAGACATCTGAGATGACCAGACACCACCCGTGTGACCTACTAATGTCCTTAAACACTGAAAATATATACGTGTATATTGAAATTAATGATTAGATAGAGACTCAAATTGTTTTCTTGTCAACATTTCTAGCTAGCTGATTCTTTTTAAAAATCAAATTTTCATGTATCCCAATAGTCAGATATTTAAGAATGAAAATGAAAATCACTAGCATTGGTCAGATTTTGTATTTTTGAAGCCTATTTTTATTCTTAAAGCTATACTTGTTTTCCTTTCAGGATAGGTGTAAAAATTATTGTATAATAAAAAAACTGACATTATTATTTAAGAATTTCATTACTTCAGCATATAATTTGAATATAAAGTATATTTTATTCATTTACAGTGTGCCTAAAGATACCTACATATAAAGATAAGAAAAGTCAAACCAAAAACACATTTTTGGGGCAGTTTATCAAAAAAAATTGCATAATGTTCATTAGCAATCACGTTTATTCTTCAATAATAGATCTGAGTTATAATATAGATAGAATTTTTATTACCTTGCCAGTGACTGCAGACCACACCTTCAAAGTATTGTCATCAGAGCCACTAACAATCCTATTGCCTGAAAATTGCAAACAAGTAATCACATGATCATCATGACCCTTTAATACTTTTGGAGGTCGTACTGGTGCCGATCGCCAATTCATTTCTATCGTATGTTGACGCATATACGCCGCCTGTAAAAAATAAATATTAATAATATGGTAACAAAAGATTGACTAGAAGGTATAACAAAACGTACTTTCCAGGGTGACCTTGTATTAACAAGTTTCATTTTATGGTTTCGTCTTTGTTCTCGAACATTGTGGATACCGGCTTGTCTACACTTTTCTTTCCAAAGCAGATTATCATCTGCTAAGAATCTGAAAATAATAAGATACATAGGTAAGAAAAAATATATTACAATTTTCTTTTTAGTCACTGTGATTAATATATTCGGTGCCTCATTCAAAAGATGTTATCATGCGGTTTGGAACTCTAACATATTTTTGAAGCAAAATATGTCGGCTCAACAAATATCAAACCTTTTACTAAGTAATCATCGGCAGTTTATTTATATATATATATATATATATATATATATATATATATATATATAAAGCGAGAGGTTTTTCTTCAGATGGTGAAATAATATAATAAAATTGTTTCTTGGGCATCCATCCAGTAATTAAAAAACAGTTTTAATGAAAAATGTTTTTATTTAAAGAACATACGTTTCGGGTCTTGATTTGACCCATCTTCAGTGCTACAAATAAATAATTCAGGGTTACAAATTAAAACAAAATAAAAAAATACATAATTAACAGACAAAAATAAGTAAAACAATGTATATGAAAAGTATATATGAAAAACAACCATAAAATAAACAATGTAAAGAAACTCACCATACAAATAAACTTTGAAAAACAACCCAAAAACACAAAATTGCACGAAAAAATAAATAAAAGTGAAATAAAAAAATTGATGAAACGTCGAGTTATGAAATTTTTTTTTTTTTTAAATTTTTCATAACTCGACGTTTCATCAATTTTTTTATTTCACTTTTATTTATTTTTTCGTGCAATTTTGTGTTTTTGTGTTGTTTTTTAAAGTTTATTTGTATGGTGAGTTTCTTTACATTGTTTATTTTATGGTTGTTTTTCATATATACTTTTCATATACATTGTTTTACTTATTTTTGTCTGTTAATTATGTATTTTTTTATTTTGTTTTAATTTGTAACCCTGAATTATTTATTTGTAGCACTGAAGATGGGTCAAATCAAGACCCGAAACGTATGTTCTTTAAATAAAAACATTTTTCATTAAAACTGTTTTTTAATTACTGGATGGATGCCCAAGAAACAATTTTATTATATATATATATATATATATATATATATTTCTTTATTTGTCTTTAGTTTTTTTTTTATATTAACTATAGTAGAGACACCACTGGGCATATCTACTGATTTGTAAACAATTTTAAACACTTGTCAGCATTCTCTGCTAAATATAATTATTTTTATAGATTTCAGGATGAAAATAAAATAAATAAAAAAAACAATCATCAGCAGTAAAATTACATTACTGAAATAGCTAACTAAGTGACTAATATATTTCAAGAGATATATAGAAAACCTCGTTGAATTAGTAAAACAACAATTAACAAAAGTAATATTAAAAACAAGAACAGGTGCATTATCAAAATTTGAGTACAGTAAAATGCCAATATTATTAAATATATAATATCGTGAATATGGTTAAAAATATGAGTTATCAGTATGCCAGGCACTTTTATAATTAGTAAATTATAGTTATAACATTTTTTAGTTATAAATATTTAAGGTATCATTAAATTAATCGAATTTTTTGATAAAAACATAAACTTCTCCTTCGGGAAGTTTATAATTTCTTCTTTGTTGCAAGTTTGTCAATTTGAAAAGGTTATTATCTCCAATACTTGCTCTCACTTGTTTAACTCAAAACCTTCGACACCATATGTCGCAGACAAATAATATATAACTGTAACAAATGTAGCTGAATGTACTTAGTATAGCTTGCTATGAAAAATATATCAAAAAAAAAAAATGTCGTGTTCACCCATTAACTTTACCATCTGCTTATGGTAAAGTGCAGCTTAGGAATAGTGCATAAAGAACTTAAATTAATACATTCAAGAAATTAAATTTGATGAAATATAATTAATTTCAAATGCTTATTAGAATACACAAATTCATGGTCCTCCAAAAAACAACAGCAACTATATGCTAATTAGTTTTTCTTTTCATTAGCACCAAGAATCCAATTCTGGTATTTGGAATAGGAAAAGAAAGTTATGTATTTTCTTACCTCCAACTCCGGCAAGTCTGGGCTGCTCTCAAAAGATCTCTTGGTTCTAGGAAAGACAATACATTAAGAGCCAGTTCTTTTGGAAGTAATGAAATAAAATCACGCTGGAATTGCGGCTCGATGACCTGCATCATATGCCGCACTTGCTGAGGTTCACAACGTTCTATCAGCTGGTCAACCGCCAACAAACGCTCTGCGTGAGACCATCGCTGGAGAAAACCAATATAAATTAACATTGTTTTCACTAAAGCAAAATAAATACTACTAGCATTGGCTTCAAAGCTTTTTGTTAAATAGTCAGTTACCAAACTTACCAAAAATTGCAGTAACCATTCCGTCATTTCCGGCGGAGGATTCTCTTTACTTGGAATAACACTTCGTGGCGTTTTCTTTTCACCAGTAGAACTAACATGTCCACTTGGAGTAACACAAACGTTTCTAATATAACCCATGCCTCCTTCAGAATTTTTTCTTATTGCACTTTCTTCTAACATACTTCTATTTAAAATCGAATCATCTGAAAATGACTTCTTGTTTGGAAGAGAACACTCATCTTCTAATTTCCGTTTCCGATGTACTCGTGCCTGAATCATGTTATGGCTTTCTTGTAACAATTCGGATTGTGTTATTGTATCAATTTCTGAGTTATGTGAGACGTCTATTTCTCTCGTTATCAAGTCATCATCAGATTCATCCTCTTGCTAAAGAAATAAAAAATTACTGTGATTAAATGTAAAATTAACTTTATAACTTCTCGGTACAAGAAGTAAAAGTAAAGTAAATTCTGTACAGTAAAGTCTGTACAATATCAAAAAAAGGATGTGATGTGAAGTTTTATGCAAGAAGTAAATAGCAATTCAACAGATTTCTATTGTATTGATTTTACATCAAAGTTCTTACGATTCTTACCGATGAGTCAGCTAAGCAACTACACGTGCAGACTTCTTCCTCATCGCTGCCATCCTCACAGTCAGCCCAGCTGTCATCTTCATATTCAATTTCAACCTCTCGAGCTTCAAGCACCACCAAATCTTGATCTGGTTCGTTAATTGCAGCACATGCTTCAGGTATATCTAAGTTTTCGTCCATTTCATTTTGTTTGTTATTTGAACCATCTTTAGCAACATCATTGTCTTCAGTATTATCATTATTTTCTAACGACAATCTATCGATTGTTATAACCCCGCACAAATTAACATCGGCTGGTTTTTCGAATACATTCGCACTCGTATCCAAGTTTGGTCCAGGATCCGAGACACAAAGTCTCGAAGCAGAACTGCTTGGACCAGCCTCGCAGTCGATTCTGTCCAGACTTTTTGATAAATTTATCTTAACACTGCCTTTCCTTGACATGTCGTACGTTAGACTACTTTTTGGAGTTGTAACTATGTTTTCGGAACCTTTGTTTTTACTACTAGCATCGTGCTTGATAATATAACCAGAGCACTTGAGTTTTCGAAGGGTTTCACTGGTGGAAAATATGCTCTTTGGTGTAGTGGTTAAAGGCGGGGACTTGACAGAGGTACTTTGTTCATTATTGTTATCATTGGGTTGCACATCGTCTTCATTGGTTTCCATAGCATTTTGTACAGATTTATTGTCGCTCAAAGAATCTTCCTGCGGCGTCGTAGCAGAAGCATCACATTTATTGGACTCTTCATCAGGAAATTCTAAAATTTTACTTAATTTCTGCGAACATTGGGGTGTTGAGGTAATAGGATAATTTACAACTTCATTAAAATTCTCATATTGGCTACTACTACACTTCGATGACGACGGTCTATATATTTGAGAATTGGATTTTGATGCTAGATTCTTGTCTTCTATCAATTCAAAAACATTGATAAGTGAAGAATGGTTTACATTGATTAGAGCGTTTTCTTTAGAAAAGTCTTCACGCTCAAGTTTTTCTAAATTTGGTATATCGGTAAGATAATGGCAATCACTTAAACTATTTGTGGCTTTTCTACGATCTAGGCATTCACTTTCATTGCTATCTATTATTTGTTTCATAGAGGGCCTTAAACCTAAAACGGCCAATTTGATAATTTGTTCAGTTTCATTCGAACACTCTGAAACGGGCGTAGGATTTGGATTATCTATTATCATAACGTCTTCAGTCTGAGTCTCTTCATTTATGGTGGCTGCGGCTTGGGGTTTCCCCGTGCAGCTGAATGGAGGTGTATCGGTTACTACTTTTGAAAAATTACCGGAATTCGAAGAACATGCTGGGTCCATTCTCAGAACTGGGCGCTATCTGGAAAAGAAAATATTTTGATAAAGGACCAACAACAACAATAGTAATGATTATATCTGTAGTAGAAAATGTTATGTAAATATTTATATTTATTGAAATATATATGTTTTTGACCTGACTAGTAATCATTATTTTAAAAGCCTTCACTTTAATGAAACTTTATTTCCTAAAATAAAAATACCATTTGATGGTAAGAAGATATTAAATAATATGGATAAATTAAGGACAAATATGCGCACATCACTCCATCATGATTAATCTATATACTGCCTCATTTATAAGGTGTTATCATTCGATTTGGAACTCTAACATATTTTGGAAACAAAATATGCCGGCTCAACAAATATCAAACCTTTTACTAAGTAATCATTGGCAGTAAGTTTATGTTACTTAAGGGGGTATTCTAGTGTAGAGCGATGAATTTTAGGTCATTTTTAAAGTGTCGTAAAAGAAAGCAATGAATGTTTTTACTATCCATTTTTTACCACTTGTTTATTGATATTATTAAAATACAGAACAAAAATTAAAAAATAAAAAAGTTGAAAATTGTAAAAACTGGCAAATGATGAAGTGGGTGGTCTCAAAAAATTGGCACCTCAGTCTTGACATGATTTCAGCCCTCCTAGCCATCGAAAATGCAAAAAATAAAAAGATTATTAATCTAAAATGATGTCGCAATCGCCTGAACTAGCGATGAGTGAAAACATTTTTTTTACAAATTGGCGACTCTTTGAAAAAAAAGTGTTTTTTTTTACTGTTTTTTTGAGTTTCTCGAATTTTTTAAAAATAGTAAAAATTGGAATTTGGGGATAATCCTAGATCGGGCTATAGTCTATAAACAAGACTCTTTAAACATTTCAAGTGAATCGGTCTATTAAAACTCGAGAAATCGTGTCAACAGTACTGAAAAAGTCTGTTCTGAGAAAAACGCATTTAAAGTTTTGCGTGAAGCCAAACCAGTATGGAGACCGAGTCAGTAAAATGCCTGTATTTCCAAAAATAATTCAAAAACCTTCTCGTACCCATATTCTTAGATAGTTAAACTTTGAAAATATGAAATAAAAAAAATCGATTTTTTTGAAATTCTACACTAGAATGCCCCCTTAAGTAGCCAACAGAATCCCTAAGATATTTTAGGAAGTGTAAAAAACCTCACCAAATTTGTGGGTAAAAATATATTAAATAATAAAGATAAAGTTAGACACTTAAGGATAAATATGCGCACATCACCACTTCAGAAAACTGGTGTAAAAAAATCAGAATTTTAACTTTTTCGAAACTATTATTTTGGAAAGCAACATGAATTGAATTATATGAATTTAATTTCAACTATTTCATGAATTGGAAATTCGTTTATTCGATGTTTTTGAGGAGTTTACTCTCAAGGATTTTCGCTATTCATAAATACTTAATTAAAATGCTGTTTTTCGTATTAAAAATTCTGTTTTTGATTGCCCTATCTACTACATCTTAATTCATCGTTGATATCACTACGCCAAATTTTAACTTCTTCTACCTTCATAAATTTGGCTTTGCTTTAACGATATGACCGTTGGGTACCTTTCCATTATTTTTTTTTGAGGGTGCACATATAATAGTTGGCATGTGATTTACTAACACAAAACTATTAGACAAGGAAGGGGACCTATCTGTTTTGTAACCGACTTTCAACGCTCGTCGAGGCATCCCTTGTCAAAAATCTTGTCTAGGACAACTAGAACTTGAGTTCAATGACAGTAAGGTATACTTTTTTTTGTCAATATAGATCAGTAGTTTGTGACCTCTGAATACCCGGTTAATAGTAAACTCTTCCATTTTTGTCTGATATATAGATTTAACATTTTAAAAATCCAAAAAATTCATTATGCTTATGGTCGTCATGTAAATTATAACTCCTAGTCGTAGACGTTAAATCTATATAGATACAAGAAGTAAAATTTTGGCTTAGTGATATCAACGTTAATCACACTAAATGCAGAGCAACTAAAAACAATTTTTAAAACAAAAACTTAATTTTACAAAACATTATTAGCAGCATTTAGTATTAGTATTTGCATTATCTACTGCAAAAATTTCCTCATCATTAAACAATAGATTTTCTAATTAGCAAATTAAATTAGTTTCATTAACTTAATAAAATGCTTGGCATTTTTTTTTTTGACTATATTGGAAGTTTTATTCAAGGTAATTTTTTAGATTTCTTTTTTTTCCTACGTTTGCTGCTATTTTAAATATATACATATTTTATGATCTCTTTGCTAATTTTACATTTTGAAAATTTGAGTTTTGCCAAGAGTTTTTATTTACTTTTTTCATTAGGCATTCTTGTATAACAGGCATGATACGTTGGCAAAAAAGATTTTGGTTTGGAAGTTGTTCAAATAGTTTTATTTTTATCACTTGTAATAAAAATATTCTGAGTGCAACGTCGATAGTAAATGATAGTTTGTTATATTTCTATATTTATTTACTTGGCCCATGGCAATGATGTAATAGAATTAGTGTGCAAATTATAATCTAAAGATAATAAAGGAAAAACATTAAAATGCTACAACAATGAATTAAAACTTCGAAACCTCAAAAACATTGATAAAACGAATTTCCATTATTATTAGATGATTCCATGATTAATTAGTGATTATATTTGAAATAAGCTTTAATAATTCTTTGAAAAGTTATGATCAATTCAAGTAAGAAAAAAATAAAGATTCTACGCAAAAAATATGCTTTTTCATGCCTTACGTGTTAATGCCTTTCAAAATTTTATACGAATGTCACCTTTCTTATGAATAATTAAATATTTTTCACTAATTATTTTACATAGATCCATACCTCATTACATTTTCGTGGAATATAAATGAGAATGACTATTTTAAGACAAATCACAAAAGTGTTCACTCGGCTCTTAAATATTCGATTATTAAAATGTTAAAACATCCAAATGCATAAAAATATATCAAATTTATAATTATAATATAAAGAAAATATTCAAGATCTCTTGCACATTTTGCAATCTAACTGTAATTGACTCATGATTCACAATAATAAATGATTATAACATAATACAATCAATAAAACAAAGGAATGTAAGTTTAAGTATGTCTCGATCACTTTCCAATTATTTATCTTTATCTAAGTTAATTTATATCATTTAATAAACAAAACATTTATTAAAGTGAATCATACCTCGTTTGAATTACCACTGCAGAAATCGAGTCGAGGCCTTTTAAATATTTGGCATAACAGGTAAAATTTAAAAATAACAAGATATATCTGAAATGTCACATTCAGAGCACTCTAACAACAAGTAAAATTCATTCATTTACAAAAAAGATCTATTAGAGTAAATAAATATGAGATATCAATAACCTGGTTTACAAAATAAATTGTCAGACATAGTTAATAATAAATGAAATGATAAAGTAATGGTAAAGATTACATTAGATTAAACGTAATAGATTGAAATACAATGCAAATGTTACAGATGTAATATTTTGAATTTAACGGTTGTTAACACGTTGCTATGGCAATAGACCAAAACAGTTGAAGCTATATTATCCTAAACAGTATGGAAATATAATATATTCATATTGTATTATTATTGTATAATTATATTATACTCTATTATTAAAAAGATTGTGATTGTGTTGAGAGTGAAAAATATTTGTAAGTTTATATTTACCAATGTAGTGTTAAAGTTTATCCTGAACACATCTTATATAAAATTTGCCTTCTTTGCCTGCGCTTTTGTTTAAAGTTTTATAGTTAGTGAATTGCTGTAAGTCGATGCTCTGTACGTTGAGGAATTTTAATCTAGAACTGTACTTCAATTATATCATAATTGAAAATAAAGATTTTTCAAAGACTAGATTATTGCTTTTATAATATATTGTTACAGTCGCTGATGCTAAGAACAAGTTTGTAAACATAATTTTGTGTTTTCCCCCGATGTTTTAATTTGTATTTTTAGTCTTAAGGTTAATTAGTTCAGTAGTTTTATAAACAATCTGTAATAAATATATTTTTAACAATATATAAAAAAAAATACAAAACCGATATTTTATATATATCTACTATTTATTAAAGACACTACGTTTGCTTATGGACTTAAAAAAAAATGTAAATGGCATACAACCTAAGATGACATGTAATAAAGTTGAACATGAATTTCATGAAATGAAAAGAAAATCCTCATTAATACACCCACAGGATAAATTTGTTTGATATTTATGGTACATAAAATATCATAAAAATCACTTGAAATATATAATTTATAAATTAACAATTTTTTATAAGGTGTATTCAAAAATAATATTAGAAACTTATTGGGAAAATTAATTGATGATTTTGATGATTTTGAATAGATGATAATGCAGAAATAGTTGAAATGTAACAAAATTTTAATGTAAATTTCAACGTATTAATGTATGATCCATCCATACTATCTTAAAAGCACTAATTTTCTTATGTAGTTCCATTTAATATGAAAACTATAAAACATTTGCCTACAATCTAAGGCAAAAGAAATCCTACAATCCAAGTTTAAGGAAATAATAAATCTGTAACTTAGTTCTATAACAAGAAAGATAAAAAATAGTTAAAGTAAATATAAATATAAAAACGAAATAAATTCAAATGAATATTATACATACAAAAGTAAATTTCCAAATTCTTGCTATAAAGTGATACAATCATTATAAAATATTATAGGCCTACGAAAGGTGGTTGAACTATAAAAAATCATTAAAGTTTGAAATAATGAGCTGTGTATATGTATTCCGTTCTGTGCTCCTACTGATCACCGTTGACGTGTCCTTTTAAATAAAATATAAATATAAATATAAAGATATAAATTGGAAACGCCATGATTATTTTTTAGTGAAAAACAAAATTTATTTTCGAAATAATAGTTAGAAATTGTATGAAAGTCCATTATTTACACATATCAGGAAGTTCATGCCAAAGACTTGCCTCAAGGTAAAATTCCTCTTACAGCTGTT